CCTGCAGGACCCACCGACTCTTCCTCACCACTTTCGATGGACAGCTGTTTGGACCAGTTGAGTTGGCTTTCCTAATTGGACGCGAGAATGAAGGAATGTATTGGCGGGAATTCTATTTGGACGGACTGATTGTCAGTACGGATGCAGAATGAATCAGCGTCATCATCTCTGAGAAAAGAAAACACACAGAAGAATACTCAAACCGGCATCCAGGTGAGGATCAATGCTGTTTGATTTGTTTCTTACTTAGACTCTCCACTATTAACATAACACAAACATCATTAACACCTCCCATTATTATTGCAAGTAGCAGCCACAGAGTGCCTAAAAGATTCATTAGACCCCCCCCCCTCTCTCATCACCGGCCCCTCAGCTCCAGAAACTGTGTTAATTAACAAGTGGGCCGCGCCACCTCAGGCCGCCAGAGCAGATCAATAGCCACTGGTCTGTGATCAGTCTGCGGGCCTGATGCTGTTGGCATGTTAACGAGAAGAATTAATCAGCCGCCGACTCCCAATCAGCCGAGCAGAGCCCGCCAGAGCTCAGGGAACACACTTTCCAGGGAACAGGAGAAGGTGCTTTCTTTCTTTCTGTCGAGCAAACACAAGTTCAATGTTCTCATGGTAGCAGGAAGGTTTCAGGAGTCACGCTCTCATTTTGACTCATTGGAACCTATCGGGTGTTGTTCTCTCTTGACTTGGCCAGGTTTCCATTTTGGGATTTTCTGAGGAAAAGATGATGATTACTAGCTCACAGGTTAGGAAAGCACGGCGTTGGCTCAGTAAGCAAGCTCAAGACTGATCTCACCCACTTACATAATTGCTTTGATTTATGTGACGGCATTGATTTATTTGTTTTATTTAATACAGCTAGTCGCCACTTAATTAGGTTCTGTAAATCTAGCTAAAAGAATGCAACAGCCCTGCAATAAATCAATCTCAATAATGTTCAGTTTCTATTGTTTATAGATGTTCGAACTACATTTTGAGTTCATTTTGGTAGCTGTAGTTTGTGATGGTGTTGAAAAGCGCTGCAAATTACATTTAACCTAATTAATCTGCTTTATTAATTATTTTCTCGATTAATTGTTCTGTCTGTAAAATGTGAAGAATCCCTTTTTTATAATTTCACAGAGCGATGGCGGCGTTACTAAATAGCTCATTTTATCTGACGAACAATCCCGAAACCAGACACAATCAAGTACCAGTCATATATGATGAAAGAAAGCATAAAGTCATCACATTTCAGAAGCTAAAACCTGCAAACGGTTTGCATTTGTGCTTGAAAATGATTGACACGATTAATCAGTTATAAAATAAATAATAATAATTAATTTACTAACAGTTTTAGCTCGACTGGTGAATTGTGTTTCATTATACGGAGAGCTTCTAATATTTTATATTCAAAAGTATAAAAGCAGTATTTCAGAATACCAGCATTTACTTTTTATACACAGATGCAACAACAAGCTGCATAAGGCTTTTTTAAACATGAAACAACAGCTAGATACTAAAAGTCAATGAGCTGTGATTAATCATATTCCTGCAGGAGGAATGTTGAAGGCTTTATTTCAGTTGGCAGCACAAGAGAGCACGGTGCGGTCTCACTGGCTGTTGAATCCATACCAGTGTTCATCTCGCACACGAGCGAGTTAAACGTCCGTTGGTGCGTGTTCGATGCGTGCCAATAAGTCAAGGGCATGTTTCAGATATTATGTACACACAGCAGCATGTGGCGCGCACAAGTTAATACATCGTTGCCACAAAATCCATATTTTCCCCCCGCGGGGCGGCCGCACGCACTCTCTCTGGATGCTCCGGCTTCTGGCATCGGACTTTGTTTAGCAGATGAGTCGAATGTTCCATCGGGTCTGGAGCCGGAGAGCCGTATTGTTGGTCAGGACTGGATGCCAAGCAGAAATTGTTTATATTCAAAACCGCCATGACTGATGCAGCCTCTCCCTCTCTCTCTCTCTCTCTCTCTCTCTCTCTCTCTCTTCCTCCCCCTTTTTTCTCTCTCCCCAGCTGCCGCTCTCCATCACAAACGGGATCCCGCTCTGGCTTCGCCGCGACCAGAATTCTTCCTCTTTGTCTTCCTCCTCCCGCTCTCCCCCCTCCGACTCCTTTGCGTCTCCTTCCGACGCCGAAGGTGAAAACAAACAAAAATCCCATCCTCAAGCGTCCGGGACGTCGCACCGCCACAAACACGCCAACTTGACAAACCTACGCTCTCGTGGCCGTCCAAGCAATCTGCTGGAATTACTATGAATGATTTTGAGAGCTTGAAAAAAAAAAAAAAAAAGAGACAATAAGAAGAATGTAATATAATCGAGAAGCCCTGCTCCAGCGGATAATGTACTTTTATTTTGAAAGTTACATTTTATTTTATTGTTTTTTTTATTTTTATTTTTATTTGTTTGCATGTAAAGTAACAAACGTTTGATTTGAGCGTGCGAATGTGATGACACGGGTGTGTGTGTGTGTGTGTGTGTGTGTGTGTGTGTATGTGTGTGGGTAGCGGTATGAGTGACAACGTCTTTGAAGTACTATCAGTAATTGTGTCGGTTTTCATGCCACTGTCGAGGAAGAGAAGATAACAGACTTATTGTTTTTGACATGAAAAAGAAAAGAACAAACCCTGGACTGTTTTGTTTTTTTTTTTGCTTTTTTGTCGTTCAAAAAAAAAAAAAAGGGTTGTGTGTTGATCCCGTCGTGCGAACTACTTACTCAGCAACAGCATTTATTACACAGCTTTGTTGGAATGCAGCTCATTCGCGAGCGGACACACAGGAGACAAAGAGTGTCGAGTGTGACGAAAAGCCTCCCGTCCACAGAAACACTCCGAACTCAAGACAAGAGTTTTGGACCCTCCGAAGCTCACGACAAGTCGGGGAAGAAATGTCGGAACCGGCTCTATTCTCTCTCTGTGAGGAAATGGGGGCAGTTTAAAATGAAGCACCTGTACACAACAAAGGATCCGAGAAGTGAGGACAAGGTGTCTAAGAAGGGAAATCTGTTGGGTTACTTTTTATTTGTTTTTCCAGAGCACATCATACAGCTACAGGTTCAACCCAATGGACTATATTCCTTTTTTTGTTCCTTTATCTCTTCAAACTATACTTATGCGAATGTTTCTGAACTCGTAAGTGACGCTTGATATAATACAACAACACCTCCGTCCTTAATACAGCTCTACAGCTCTTTTCCCTTTTTATTGTTTAGGCAACGCGTCGTTCTTTTTGGGTTTTTATCTATCGTGAAGAAAAAGGACCTGTTTGGAAATATGCAAGACTTGTTGGGAAGGAGAAGGAAACCAGAATGTACTGTAAAATACTTTTTTCCTTTACTTAAATGTTGGACGATTTGAAAAAACGAAAAATGAAAAAAAAAATAAATAACAAAACGCAAGAGTTAATGTTTGTCATTGTATGTCTTCTGATGCCATATGATCTAGACATGTAGATCTAACATTCTCTCAATCTTTTTTTGTACTTTTTTTTTTGACATGATCATGTTTTTTTTGGCTTTGTTTGTTTTATTTTGTTTTTTTGTTGTCAAGGAGCTCTAGGTACATGTAACTTATGTCATTTATTTATGTCCTTTTATATCTAGTTTGTAAAATAATAGCCTAAAGTGAAGAAAATAAAGGGGTGCCAAAGTGCATTCTTAATAAAGTAGAAACCATATGACGATCTCCTTGCCTCTCATTCATGCACACACACACACACACACACACACACACACACACACAGCTGATTACCTAACTATCGTGCATTGATTACTGCGTTTTATGATTGCACATAATGGAGCGGTTACGTAACAGAAGGAAGAGGCCGAGGTAGTGCATCAAGCAGCTTCTTGGCCTCCTTTTTGCCTTTCTAATTCTCACTGTCGCTCACTGTAACCTAAACACACAGAATAAGAAAATGGGTAGTGTGTATCGTCCGCAGCACATGCTCGTCTGATATCATGACTCTGGACTCCAAGACTGCTGGCCCTGGAGCGGCGGCGAGCACCGCTCACTTGCTGTGTTTGTGTGGATGTGTGTGTGTGTGTTCAATCAGAACAACATCTGCTTCCTGCTCTCACTTCCAGCAGCGATAAACCACTGATTGTCCTGAGTCTTTGATAAGGGCCCAGGAGGGAGGGGGGGAGGATAGTTTTAGAAATGGAGCTCGAGACAACGTTGAGCCAAACAGCGTTTTGCACGTTTCCTGAGAAATCACCAGCAGAAGGCATGCATACATTAAAGGCTGTGAAGTTTGCAGTGGGAGATGTTCATTTCGAAGGGAAAGTGTGCCTCCTTCACAGATTGTTGGCAAACTAAGAGGGGAAAAATGAGAAAAAGATTAGCGAGGCTGAGTTTGATGAATTTGCCCTAAACTGAGAAGGTTTTTTGACAACTCGCCATGGTGCTTGAACACTCAAAATAAATGCATTCGTAAAACATGCACGTATCGACGAGGGTTATTTGACCTTAAACATCCAATTATTTTTCAAGATATTTCACTCAGGATCACAAAGTAATAAAGTTATTATTATAAAGTCAGGTGATCACAAATATCGTTAGGATTCATCATCTGGGGACGCTGCTAACGTGGCTAAAAAGAAGAAGGGGGATGGATTGTTGCTGAAAGAAACAGACGGCGGGGGGAGCAAGACAAAGAAAAGTGCTAAATGCAGCAAGAAAAAGTGAAGAGGAAGAAACCCAGACAGCGGGAGTTTGAGAGCGCAGGTCACACGGAAAGTAAACGCTGGCCGTCTGCTACACTTGGCCAACCAAAGTAAGCGGAGTCATGTTGAAAGTTCAGGTACTGGCCACGAATCGGCTGGAATGCTGCCTCTCTCTTAACAAAATCAGCACAATTCAACACCTCCGTCAGTGAAGCTTCTACTTTAACTGTATTCTCAGGGAGATGGCCCAAGAAAATGGGCTCCAAAATTCCAGCACTGGATCCTTCTCACGGGTCAAAATACCTCACAGATGCTGGAAAAAAATGACCATCCACTATTTGGATAATTGCTTAGTTTATCTAGCACTGTTGTGACGCTTCAGATCCACCAACAATTCCACAATACATGTTTGTAATGTGGCTCATGCTAGCCTTGTATTGAAGGGATGACATCCATATTGGACAATTCGGCACTTAAACTTCAGTGCTAACATTCAGGGTCAATCCTGAAAGGGGTGTTTCCTTTTCAGCCCAGTCGTCAGAAAAAAAATTAAATAATGTATCTGATTACATTTTCAGGTTGTAGCTGGAGTGGACAACTGTGTCATTTGGGTAAATACTAGTATCTGATTGGACATCTTTGGTTCAGGATCAGGGCCAAAATAACTTGATTGTATTCCCAACCATAGTTTATTTGTCATTGCCACAATCTTTCCCCAGCCCCAAACATTCCATATTTCCAAACTTAGGGATTTGTGGGCTCTTTAAAAGAACCATAACACTTGTCTCCATCAAGCCTCAATGCAGTGAAGCATCTCACACTGGCAGCCACATAAAGAGGCTTAAATGAAGACCGAGTCAAGAGACAACAATCCTACCGCTTCTGATCCCCCCCGGCACACACACACTGCTAGAAGCCTCAATGCTTTTGTCAACCAATCTAATTAAGAAACCCTCAGGTGAAGTGCCAGCCCTTCAAACTAGCTTAACCCCCGCCGCCCCATACTGTCACCGCAACCCATTTCATTGGGTCACTTTGTTTCATAATTCAATTTCCTGATTCGAAAGATAGAACCCCTCCTGGCCTGTCCTCTAAGCCAATCACAATGGGGCGCCAACCCTCACACTGACATTATGATTACTCTGTCCTTTGTGTTGTCATTCTTGAGTACGTCCTTAAATCCACACAATATGATAATCCATAATCCAAACGCTTCAATCTTAATCCCCACATGCTCTCAACCAAAGTCTAGAGTTTTCTTTTCTTAGCTCTCCAGGTTATTGGTTGGCTTTTTTTAAGAGGAAAACAGTGCTGTTGTGAGGTATAAGGGAAATATTTGACGGGGGAAAAAAGACAAAAACTGGGGAAAGAAAAACCACGAGAGCTGAAAGCTTCAGTGGGAAAATAGCCGGGCAGAGACTCTCAAACGTCTGAGCGTATTGATCGAGAGGCTTCCAGCATAGAGTTGACCTTGCGTCTGGTCTACCAGGTACTTTTGATGGACAACACAAATGCAGCGATACACATAAAGGGCCTATAAAATGCCAATGTCGGAACAAAACGGGAAGAAATTCTGGCAGCATGACAGAATGTGTCTTAATTTAGCTGTTTGAAACCTCTCTGTTCGCAGTCAAACGCTTTCTGTATAACCACCAAACATAGCTCTGGTTCAGCAAACACCAGAGGCAGAAACTATCGCAGCCAAACACCCGACAACATGAAAAAACACTTACGGGAGAAGCACCCTCTCTTGGTTACAACCCGGCCTAAAGGCAACTTTTTTTTCTCCCCCTCAAAGAGTCTCATGTGAGTGATGGAAACGAACGGGAGACGAATCAGAATCAGAGAACAAAACAAACAGAAATAGAGCTCTGAGCTGGCGAAGACAGAGAGGAAAGGGAGAGGAAAGCGAGTCGAGATTGATGGCTGGCAACTTTAGAGACAAAGCTGATAACATGTTTCAGTCGAGATTTTTAAGTAATTGGCAGCAGATCTGAGAGCATTTACTCAAGGATGCTTGAAAGTCAAACAAATACGCAGCAAACAGATGTCTATACGAGATTCTTCAGTGAAGACTTTTCAAAGAGAGCAGTGGAAAAAACAGCAGCGAAGACGTCCCCCTAGATTTTTTGGTAGGGAATTCTAAATTTCCTGTCTTTCAAAGCTTTTCTACCCACTCTAGCGTCGTGTCTCTTTGGATGGCAAACTAGGCCTAATGGTTGGTCTGTCCATCCCTTTTTGTGCTGATGTGAATATCTGAACAACTTTGAGTTGGATTGCTATGAGACTTGGTAAAGACTCTCCTGTGCCACCATCAAATTGGAAATTTTGTTTGTGAGTGAAATGTCTTGACAATTATGGGATGGTCTGGGACATTTATTTTCCCCATGAGATGAATCCTACTGACCTTTCCTCTCTTGTCTCTCCACTTGGTGTCTTCATGTAAACTACTCTGCCGTAAAATAGAAATGTATCAACACACGCACTCACTCGCTATGAATTATCTGTACAATGAGTGGATCTATTCACAGTTGGACATTCCACAGACTTTGTACCCGGGAACCTTCAGGTAAAGTATGTTTACGTCCAGTCCTAATGATTCGGACATTTGCGTTTATCACATATAGTTCCACAGGCTAACGTCTAGATCATTCCACGGTGAGAGGGCCTTCATGAAAAGTCTTCTTCTGTAATGGCTGGGAGTCTAAACTGGAAGTTGGACATGGAGGGATGATGAAGGGGTTTCGGGGGGGGGGGGGATCTGAATGAAGTGACTGAGAGTTTTTTTCGGTTTATGAACTCAGTATTCAACACCTTATAAAACATGCTTTTTTTCAAACATGTCAAGGCCCTCAACATCTGTCTAAAGGTTAGAAGGATGAAATAGAAAGACATTTATGGCAAAGCCAAACCATGTGCTGGTTGAACCATGTGCTGCTTGTCTTGAAAAAATGAAATCCTTTGTTTGACAGTGACGATTGCAGCAAACCTAAATTGGTATGTTCCACTCAAGGCCTAAGTCACCAAACCAACAAGAAGAAGAGCCTTTAAGTAAGCAGCCCTTTGCATCTCTCCCCACCTGCTATGTGTGGGAAACCGTCCCTCTCCAGGAGCATAATCTACAGTGATTATTGGTCTGTTGGGAGAACGTGGAGCTTTATCGGCCCCACCAGACTAATCTCACCTCCGGGCCAAAGGGTGCCGGCGGGTGGCCTGTTCCCAAATGAAGGCGCAGGGAGGTCACCTACTTGACCACTCAATCGCTTCTTATCCAGATCCACCAGCAAGACTGCTGGCCCCACCTGATAGGCTGACCTTTGACCTCACTCTACTCACCAGAGCCGAATCCACACACACACACAAACATGTTAATCTCTAGTGCAAACCACTTTCCCTATGCCACCGGGCCTCATGGTCTTGGTCCACTCTGCTCACGAACTGGAGGGTTTAGGAGTGAAAGTGCGAGTGGGTGATGTGGCTTTGGCTTCCATCTCCGCCAGCAAGATGAAGGTTACTCAAGTCCACCCCTACCCTCCTCTTCCTCCTCCCCTTCTGTGTCTGTTCGGCGGCCTGATGAAGGTCCAGCCGGCTATCAGCTCAAGCAGAAACCTGGTTATCACAGTGAAATGCAATGTTCAAAAATCCCCTTGATAACTGCCTGATGGACTGAGATAGACAGACAGCTACGTACATATAGAAAGACAGAAGGAGGAAGAGAAACCTGTAGATGAGAGGAGAAGTTGGGACACAGCCAGGTGATTCACTTCAAACTCTTTGCAAGAACCCCAAAACCCCTTTTTTGTCTACGTTTTATTAAAAAATTTGGGATCAAAAAAAGAGGGAAAGAAAGAAAAGGCACCCCGTGACACAGCGGCCATCCATCATCTGCTGGTTTGAGCCCAGCAGTGAGAAGAAGGAGCAATAGATTAAAGGAGACAGAGAGCTCGGGAACGCCGTGGAGAAAGTATGGGCTCGGGGATTTTCTCCGTTCAGCGCAGCGTCGGCCTCTGGACTGTTGA